TATATATATATATATACTCGCCTTTTTCCGTTTCTTTCCCTTGCTCACTTCCTTACTCCCCTCTCGCGGATGGTATCGCCACCGACCAGTCAAGCATGAAAAAACGTTTGCAGCAAAATGACCGTATTTCAGCCGAAACTTTTTCACTCCTCGAGGCACAAAATGTCAATTTACACCTATAATACACGCGCACGCGCGCGTGCGACCATGCCCGGGTGTGTGCGCCCGGTCGCGTGTATGTATGTGTATTTGTATGACTGTAAAAACGCGTATTATAGCCGTATGTCCACATTTTGTGCCTCGAGGGATGAAAAAGTTTCGACTGAAATACGGTCATTTACCTGCTAAAGTTTTTTCATGCTTGACTAGTCTTGGGCGATATTATTTGAAGGAGGGGGGAGGAAAAGACTGAGGGGCACCATCATGACTGAGAAAATGCCATGTTGAATTTTGACATCGGGCCGCCATCTAGTGTGAAAAATAATTATAAAGCGCATATATGGAATAACCCAGATGGATATATTACGGACGCGACAATTTGCTCCTCTCTTTCAAATGGTATCGCCCACAACCAGTCAAGCATGGAAAAACTTTGGCAGGTAAATGACCGCATTTCAGCCGAAACTTTTTCATCCCTCGAGGCACAAAATGTGAATTTACGCCTATAATACACGCGCACGCGGGCGTGCGACCATACCCGCGTGCGCGCGCCCGGTCGCGTGTATGTATGTGTGCTTGTGTGACTGTAAAAACGCGTATTATAGCCGTATAATCACATTTTGTACTTTAGTGGGAGAAAAAGTTGAGGCTGAAAACCGGCCATTTGCCTGGCTAACTTTTCACCATGCACCTGATGCCGTGGGCGATACCATTTGGGAGAAGGGGATCACTTATTCCCGAGAGAATATAACCTGATAGGATATAGATTAAAGTACCATATAAATAGATAGACATATCAGATATAGATAGATAGAAATAGATAGAATACCAGATATTGAATGAAAAGGATAGAATATTGAATATTACGTATATTATTTTTTTGGTTTTCAGTGATGGTTGATTCTAGATGGTACATTATTACTGCTAGGTACTCAGTACATGGTTCCCACAAAAGTGTGAATTACTTTTTCAAAGACTTCAAGGGTATTTCAAGGACATTTTTTTTCGAGGACAATTTGTGACAAGTAGTTTTAGCATTTTAGTCATCATATATACCTTAGATTCATATATAAAGTAAAAAATAGTTGTTTTACACCATAATTCAATGAGAGCAATCCCTTCTCTATAAATTTCTTGCTAATAGCATTTGTTGAGCTGGTGAAATTAAAGATCTTCTTCAGCCTCCAACCCATGGAAGAAACCATTAAGGGCCATATTCTCCTTGTCCCAAATCTTTACAAATGAATAACAAATAACAAATAATATAAAATTTAATCCAAAAATTCACAGAATAGAATCTGCTAAAACTAGTTTGTTTTCCCTCTTTTTAGTCATGGGTGGCATGGGCAGAGATTGTAACTATATGCTGACTGTTCACCAATGATGTGAAACTTAAAAAAACGCAGCGAGATTGACATTTCATGAGTAATACAATTTATTTTCACAATTAGTCGTCACAACAAATTCAATATTTTGTACACAAGATCTGAACACAATCTTTTGCACAAATTGCATTCGCTTACGGGTATTAACCTTACATAAAAAAAACGGTATAAAAAAGAGCACAGTGTAAACGAACGACCTACGATAGAATCTTACCACTAGGGACACCTACAATCACGAGTAACAATTTACAAGAAACTAATTCACTCAGAGTTGGTGGTGATGTGAGCAAACTTTGGTAACACATAAATCTAGGGCCGCGAAACCACAGCCGCATTAATGGTTCGATAAACGGGTAGTAAATGCTTTGACAGACAGACATTACTTGCTAAACATCACGCAATAATCGGACAGTACAAACGAAATAAAGTATAAAAGAAAACAAAAACAAATCTACAATTACAACTGACAATATTATAAATGATGGTAATGCCCTCTAAAATTATAAAACCGACAAAAGAATACTCTCTCTCGATCCTTTAAAAAGCTATAAAAATAACTCGACACGAAATGTTTTGCTATACACAATCTATGAAGGGGTGCACGATAGATCTAGAAATGCTACAAAAATACGTGGTGGCACTAGAACATTTTTTAATGCGTCTTTCTCGCAGGAACTCGCGAGATTTTTCGCTCACACTCGAGTGTTTGTCTTCTGGCCGCACTGCTGGTAGTAAGCTGCAATATACTGCAATTTACTGCTTAATACTCACATAAGACATGCCTAGCACGGGAGGATCTTGGCACCCGTGTGGACGCAC